GAGAGAGAGAGAGAGAGAGAGAGAGAGAGAGAGAGAGAGAGAGGAGAGGAAGGGATCACTTCAAGGACATGCCCCCAGTGGACTCCCTTCTTCCAACTAGGCCCCATCTCTTAAAGTTCCCACAGTCTCCCCACCAACTGGGGACCATGCCTTTAACACCTATCTGTCAGGGACATTCAAGATCCAAATTATAGCCTATCCCCATACTCTTCTATACTCTTCATGGCTGCTTAGGCTCTGCAACACTAGACCTGTAACAGTCACTGTACCTGCTATGCTGGAAGTATTTATTAACTGGCTGTATTCATCAGCTTTTCGTCACTCTGACTAAAAATATCAGACACGGGCAATTTGGAAGAGGAAGGATTTATTTTGGCCTATGGCTTTAGAGGTTTCAGTGCATATTTGGCTGGTCCCATTGTTCTGGGCCTGAGATGAGACAGACCATCATGGCAGAAGGTCACAGTGGAAAAAAGCTGTCAGCTCCTGGCTGCTAGGAAGGAGAAAGGGAGGGAGAAAGGGAGGAGCCAGGGACAAGATATTCCCTTCCAGGGAAAACCTCCAATGATCTTCCTTCAACAATCTCCCACCTCCAGGAGGCCATTAAACTGGTTAATCCACTGATAAGGTCAGGGCTCTCATTGTCCAACCACTTCCCCAAAGTCCCACCATTGGGCATTGCTGCAGTGGGGACCAAGCCTTTAGGTACACGACTTTTGGTGACATTCCAAATCCAAACACAACACTTGTCCTGTGAAGAAAAGAAAATATTCTGATCTTTGTACTAGAGAAATGAGCACTGTCCTGATTTAAAAAAAAAAAAAAATCACAACTAAAAATGGAAAAGGGAAGGGCAAAGAACAAGGTTCTTTGACTGTGGTTGTACAGGCTTAAGAAAGACACAAGGGAAAGTATTTACAAACCAAATAGTAAAAGCTTAAATAAGATAACAGGAGTAAAAGCATAAAAAAAAAAAATTACATCTAGGGCTGGGGCTGGGGCTCAGCGGTAGAGCACTCACCTAGGACATGCAAGGTACTGGGTTCGATTCTCAGCACCACATAAAAATAAATAAATAAAGTAAAGGTATTGTGTCCAACTACATCTAAAAAAATTTTTTAAAAATACATCCATGCAAGATAATCACTAGAATTAGAAAACTTCCCCAATTTTTAATTCTTTAATTTTTAATTATTATTATTTTTTTTTTTTGGCTGTGCTGGCATGACACTCTGGCCTTCATGCATGCTAGACAAGTGTTCTGCCACCAGCTATACTTCTAGTTCAAATTTGATTTTTTAAAAAATAAAAGAACACAAATGTGTAGGGGAAAAATCACGGCAGATAAAATATAAAATGCTGTGCGAGGAAATGCATTGTATCTGTGTCAATAAAATATGAAAAGGCTCATTAAAAAAAGATTTTGTATTTGACTCACACTATCAGCCTCCTTGGCAGGACCCCCATGTCCCCCACTTTCTTTTGACCTCATCCAGTCAGGGCCTGCTTCTCACCCCCCACTGAAATCATCTTGTCAAGATAACCAACAGTCTCAGAACTGCCAGCTGTGTGGCTCTATTCCCAGCCTTTGTCTTTCTCAGTTTCAGCATGGGTGACAAAGGTGACAGATCGTTCCCTCCCTCTTGAACCATTTTCTGCACTTGACATTCTGTACAGCACCTCTCCTGGCTTTCTCTTCTCCCCATACTCCTCAGTCTTTGGGCTGAATTCTTTTCTTGACATAATCAGATGTTGGATTGTTCCAGATCTTGTTACCTGAACCCCATCCCTTTTTCCTCCCTCCCCCCCTCCTCTTCTCCTCTATCCTCACTTTTTCTCCTAGCAACTTCAATCATGCCCTTGGCTTTAATGCATAAGCTGCAGATTCTCACATCTGAGCCTCAGAATCTGAGGTCTTCCCTGAGCTTCAGACCCATACACCCCAACCTTCGCCTGGACATTTAACAGACATCTCAAACCTAGTGTGGTCATAGCCAAACCACTGATTTTTCTCCCCTGTATGTTTTCCCTGCAGTCTGGTCCCTCCATGGAAGTGGCTCTATCATTTGCCTTTTGGCCTTATAATAGAAGCCATTCTTGAGGCCTCTTTCTTCCACATAGTTTCTCAGTGATTTCTGTTGTCTCTAACTGGGCCACTCTCCACCTGCCTTTCCAATATCACCAGGGTCTGAATGACCATCATCTCTGGCCTGAGCTACATAGTAGTCCCGTAAGTGGCCTCCCTGCCTCCACACTGTCCCCACTCACCACAATCTCCTCTCCAGCCAAACACACAGGAAAACCCAAGAGCCTCATGTGACTCACCAAGTTCTACAGTTCTGCCCCCTGCCGTCCTCCACCCTCATTTTCCATGACTTCCCCCCTCACCTACCACATTCCAGATACTCTGGACTCTCCTCATTTTTTCAAGACAGCGAGCAATGTCCTACCTTTGGACTACCTGAAAGAGTCCTTCCTTGAGCTTCTTTTGGCTCAAGTACTTAACTACATTCATCTCTCTGCTCTTCAGCTGGGCCTTCAGCTGCTGTCCCCAAACAACACCTGCCACTCTAACCTGACTCTGCTTCACTTTTTAAATTGGATTTATCATTTTGTGACA